TATATATATATATATATATATATATATATATATATATATATAGTATATACTAATCGATCCTTCGCTCTCCCTATCTTTATTCTCATCTTCAATCTCCATCAACATTAAGATGCAAAAAAATTTACAATTGTTATTTCTCCAAGTTTCCTATGAAAATATGTTAGTTTATTATGTTTTAAATGTCCTCGACAAAAAATCAAAAGGGTAAAAAATTTTTTAGGGCTCGCTCAGGATTTTTAAAAGTTTAAAAAATCAATTTTAATAGAGTTTGGTTAAACTACGTGATAAAAAAGTTTAAAATCAAAATTTTAAACTAAATTATAAGAGGTACAAAAAAAAATTAAGATAGTTTTTTTTATAAGAAATTCAATTTTCTATCAGAAAAATCCTTATCAATTTTCTCCTATCTCCTATCATTTAGCTCTAATTTGAATTTTAAATTAGATTCCAAGTTTATTTAAAAAGTTCTTGGTTTCGCCGCTAGGTGGCTACGCTCTCTCGCTAGCAGAAAAATCTTCCCAGAGTATATAAGAAGCCCGGATTATTTTCTTAACTATCATTTGCTCTAATGATATTTTAAATTCGATTTTAACATGTTTGATTATCTCACATGTTAAAAATGTTTCAAATTAAAATTTAGGGTCAAATATAAAATATAAAAATATGATGAGCTTTTTTGTAGGAAATTTAATTCTTTAGTAAAAAGGTCTTTATCAACTTTTCGATATCGCTCATCATTTAGCTCTAATTTGAATTTTAAATTAGATTCCAAGTTTATTTAAAAAGTTCTTGGTTTCGACAATAGGTGGCCACACTCTCTCGCTCGCAGAAAAATCTTCCCAGAGTATATAAGAAGCCCGGATTATTTTCTTAATTATCATTTAGCTCTAATGATATTTTAAATTCGATTCCAAGTTTATTTAAAAAGTTCTTGGTTTCACCACTAGGTGGTTACGCTCTCTCGCTAGCAGAAAAACCTTTCCAGAGTATATAAGAACCCCGGATTTTTTTCTAAAATTTAAGGATGCCGTTGTCCGTCCATGGCGAGCTGGAGCCGAACCACTGCAATCCGGAGGACCAACCCTTCTTCACCTGGCCGCAGGATTAGGATACTCCAGACTCGCTTGCGCGCTGCTTCACTGGAGATCCGAGAACCCCAGCAGCGTTCTGGATGCTGAAGTAGATGCTTTGAGACAGGACGCCGCTGGTCTGACGCCTTTAGCTTGGGCCTGTGCAGCTGGGCACGCTGATACCGCTCGTATTCTTTATCGGTAAGTCAAAATGTTCTTTTATCATCAACCCACTAGCTAATCACCGTCAAAGTAAGAAAAAAATCCGCGAGCGTCAGCAAGGATGAGGCTTTAAAAATTCTAGGGTTATAACAATTTGTTGCCCCAGGTGGAACGCGATGGCGCTGCGCGTTCGAGATTGTCAGAACCGGAGCGCAACAGATCTGGCGACGGAAAACGGGCACTCGGATATTGCCAAGGAGCTGAACCGGCTGGAGGCACGGAGACAAGATGAGAGACTCTTCCTGAGACCGGCGAGTCCTAGCCCAAGGCGGCCCTCCCAGGACAGCGGTCTCGATCTTACCTTGTGTTAGTTTTATTTTTTTTACAGTTTACATTTTAATTACCTGATTAATTTTTACAATTATAGTCTAACGTAACCTTTTTATCTTACCCGGTATTTGCACTGGCTAGAAATTGCTCCGTCCTTGTAGCTCTTTTTTATTAATTATTATTGAGCAATAGCCCGGTAAAGAGTGATTATTAAAGATGCCGGATGTTTATCTTTATTTATGCGGAAATAATGCAGGTTCTCCGCTACTGGACAGGATGGAATTATTGCAAGAGGACGATTCGCCTTTAGGGCTGGAGCACCAGGGAATGGAGAGCACTCCCAGCTCCCAGTCTTCCGTAGGTCCGTACATCTCCAGAAGTATCACCTCATTGCAGTAATTGGTCATTGATCGTTGCAATGATGTTTAATCACTCCCCTTACCCATTGCCTGTGCCTGTCTCGTGTGTTGTCTTTCCGTTTATTGTTATCTTTTATCATGTTATCATCTTGTTATATTATTAATCCCCTGTACTGTTTGTTGAGCTGTGATATATCTTTGCTGGTGGTGTTACTTTGTATTTTTAGTCAACATTTATGAATAATTAATTAATTGATAAGCATTAAGTTTACCAATAGATAGAAATTTATTGGGTTTTTTTATCATAAAAAATGGAAAATTGAAGATATTCAAGCTTTTTTTAGTGTTTGAGAATATTTTATTATAAAGTTGAGAAAAAAAAATTTGGAAAATCCAAATGAGCATGCCAGTAGTTCCAGCGTGGTATAGTGTAGTCAGAGCATTTACTATAGACAAAAATTTTAAAGCCTCGGCACACAGACGTTCACATATACAATTACATATTGTTAGTTCTAGTGATCTGGCAACGTTGCTCTTGAAAACCGTGAAAGATTTGAATTTCCCGTTTTTTATGCTACACTATTATAGGGAGCGTTGCGTACGGCGTTGCCGGATCACTATAAATTGTTCGATGAGCAGGTTAGAAATGGATCGAAAATTATTTTTTTTAATTATTATATCTCGATAACGAAACGGTGAGGTGCTACTTTTATTTTTTTAACTTATTCTAAAAACATTTTTCAACACTCTCCTAATTTTTTTTTCCAATTCTGTCGAGAGAATTTTTTAATATAATAAAAAATACTTGGAGAGACCGGACATTTTACATACTTTAAATGGAACATGACCCTCAAAATCGCCAACTTTGACTTTAAATATCTCGCGATCTAAACGGTCAAAAATTATGAAATTTTAGGAATTAATAAATAAAGCTATTCTGAACCCGTAAAAAAAATTTCAGCCGAATCTGTCGAAAAGTGATTTCATGCTGGAACTACCTTAAGCGCTTATGTCATACGCAAATTAAGGGAAGAGCCCCCATTATTGACACTATAAGAGTGACGGCGAACATTTGAATTTTTTAACCGTATTCAAATTAATCTGACTAATTTTTTTTTGTATTAGACACTTTTTTTGATTCATCAACTTGTGTATTTTAATTTTTATACTTAAATAGTCGTTAATTAAATGACAAATATATTAATTTGAAATCAGCAACTCAAGTGTAGGTATTATTGACAGGGTGAAATGGTATCAAAGCCAACTATTGACACCCATAGACCCTATTATTGACAGGTGTCAACCCTATTATTCAGGTTTAATTGAAATTTAAACTTCGAATATAATTTATTATTTACTAGTAAACAACAATATTTTGCTCAGACAATTCTTTTTTTATTATAAAATAACGCGAGACAACATGTAAACAAATCCACTATGTATGTTAAAAAGGTTAAGTTTCT